TCTCTCTCTCTCTCTCTCTCTCTCTCTCTCCAACAGGCTGTTCCTCCAGTCTCAGTGTCCGACATACACATGCACGTACAAGAAAAAGTAACAGTTCATAGTTATGACAAGTATGCATTTGTGAATGAGTAATGCTTCATCTGTTTTCTGAAAATGTCCATAGTAGGTGAACTCCTTACTTTAAGGCCAGTACCGCACTAGGACAGTGAACTGCATACTTTAAGGCCAGTACTGCACTAGGACAGTGAACTCCTTACTTTAAGGCCAGTACTGCACTAGGACAGTGAACTCCTTACTTTAAGGCCAGTACTGCACTAGGACAGTAGTGAACTCCTTACTTTAAGGCTAGTACCGCACTACGACAGTGAACTCCTTACTTTAAGGCTAGTACCGCACTAGGACAGTGAACTCCTTACTTTAAGGCCAGTACCACACTAGGACAGTAGTGAACTCCTTACTTTAAGGCCAGTACCGCACTAGGACAGTGAACTCCTTACTTTAAGGCCAGTACCGCACTAGGACAGTGAACTCCTTACTTTAAGGCCAGTACCGCACTAGGACAGCGAACTCCTTACTTTAAGGCCAGTACCGCACTAGGACAGTAGTGAACTCCTTACTTTAAGGCCAGTACCTCACTAGGACAGTAGTGAACTCCTTACTTTAAAAGGGTGTAAGTTCCATACATGGGGACAAAAGAAGAAAAAGGAACGCTATGTTCTGTAGCATGTGTCATTGTGTGTCAGTGTCAATGTGTGTCCGTTTACTGACAAAGACACACTGACACAGAAACATACTGACACACACACACACACACTAACACAGACACATACTAAAACACACTGACACAGACTGACACACTGACACAGACACACACTGACAGACACACACTGACACAGACACATACTTACACACACTGGCACAAGACACACTGACCCAAACACACACTGACACAGACACACACAGATACAGACACATACTTACACACACTGGCACAGGACACACACAGATACAAACACACACTGACACAGACACATACTTACACACACTGACCCAGACACACACTGACACAGACACACTAATGGTCCGACTCACCCCCGAGCGGCCATCGTCCGAGGCAGCGTATGCGCTGTCGTTGTCGTCGTAGAAGTCTGAGGAGGGAGAGATGGGCGGGACTTTCCGCCGCGTGGCCGAGCCACGGGCCATGGTGGCCTTCCGAGGAACCGGCGCCTCGTCCTCATCTGTGTATGACAGTAACAACCGTTACAACAATGACAGACTTGTCACAACCGTTACAACAATGACAGACTTATCACAACCGTTACAACAGTGACAGACTTATCACAACCGTTACAACAATGACAGACTTATCACAACCGTTACAACAGTGACAGACTTATCACAACCGTTACAAGAGTGACAGACTTATCACAACCGTTACAACAATGACAGACTTATCACAACCGTTACAACAG